AAAAAAAAAAAAAAAGAGCACAAGGGTAGAGAAGCAATGTACCATGCTACAAAGGGTACATTTACTCTGCCTAGGGGTTTATTTTATTGTCCCAGTCTTTGCCCCACCATCATAGTCTCTGTCTCAGAACTGAATAAAGAACCCCCCCCAAAATAGACATGTACAAATGTACCTGATTTTTGACAAGGGTACAAAAGCAATCTGTCAGCAGATAAATAGTTAAACAAAGTGGAATAATATTCAGCAGTGAAAATTACTGATCAACTAAATTCGGTGGATCTCAAGGGCATTATATTGAGTGGGGAAAGAAAAGCCAATCTCACAGGTTACATACATACAGCCACAAAAATGAAAAGTTATACTCCATGTAAGTATCAAAATACATTCTACAGGGCTGAGGTTAAGATTCAGTGGTAGCACGTGTGAGGCATTGGGTTTGATCCTCAGCACCACATAAAAATAAATAAATAAAATAAAGGTATTGTTTCCATCTACAACTAAAAAAAATTTTAAAAAATACATTCTATTGTCATGTATAACTACAAAGAGCCAGTAAAATTTTTATTTTATTGGTTACATACTATATGATTACATTTACATATGTTCTTGAAATAAAGTTATAGAAATGGAAAAGAAATTAGTGTTGCTAAGGGTTAGGAATAGGCATGGGTGGCTATAAACAGGTAGCACAAGGGAGGCTTATGGTAATGTAATAGTTTTGTATCCTGATTGTGGTAGTGGCTATAAGAATCTATATATGATAAAATTGCATGCACACACACACACACACCAAAGTGGGGGGGACCCTCCACAATTGAGTATATACAAAACTGGTGAATTTTGAATGTACTGTGTGGATTGCAGCAATGTCAATTTCCTGGTTTTAATAATAAAAAGTATTTATACAAGGTGTTACCATTGGGGGAACTGAGTTAGAGGCAGAGAGGAAATTCCTTGATTTCTTTTTTTTTTCTGGATATCTCATGTTAATTATTTGAAAATAATAAAATAAATAAAATAAAATAATAAAAATAAGTGAAGCTAGAGGGTTTATTTATTTTAAAATAATAAAAAGTGCTTTTATTTTTTTTAATATAGTGTTATTTTTTTTTTTTTCTGGGAGAGTTGGAAAGGATACTTAGAGGTTGTGATGTTTTTTTTTTTTTGGTAACAGGGATTGAATCCAGGGGCCCTTTACCATTGAGCAACATCCCTAGTCCTTTTTATTTTTTATTTTTCTGGGAGTGGGGGCAGTACCGGGGATTGAACTCTGGGGCACTCAACCACTGAGCCATATCCCCAGCCCTATTTTGTATTTGATTTTAGAATAGGGGTGTCACAGAATTGCTTAGCACCTTGCTTTTGCTGGGGCTGGCTTTGAACCCGACATCCTCTTATCTCAGTGTCCCACTGGGATTACAGGCATTTGTCACTGCCACCGGCCAAGTTTTTATTTTGAGTCTAGGGCTCACTAAGTTGCTTAGGGTCTCGCTAAATTGCTGAGGCTGGCCTTGAATTTGTGATCCTCCTGGTTCAGCCTCCCCAGTTGCAGGAATTTTTTGAGGTTGTTGTTTTGATGTGGTTTCACAAAGAGGATGGGATAAACACCTATGATTGATACACTGTGTTTTAAAAATTTTTTAGTTGTAGATGAACACAATAACTTTATTTATTTTTATGTGGTGCTGAGGATTGAACCCGATGCCTCCCATGTGCTAGGCAAATACTCTACATTGTGTGTGCGGTTTTTTTTTTTTTGTGGTGGGGCCTGGGATTGAACCCAGGGCAAGCACTCTACCAACTGAGCTATATCCCCAGCCCGGATATGTTGTGTTTTTAAGAGTAATTGTTTCAGGGTTTTAAGCAGGATGGTGATATTTGGTTAGATCATAGCCATTCTATAAGGCAGAGCAAGATTGGAAGCAGAATATTCTATTTCATTAATTCCAGGAGGCACTTTGTTTTTATTTTCTCTTTCTTCTGGCATTTTAACAGGTCTTAAATTGGAACGTTTCACTATAGCTATTTCTCAGACAGCAGTTGTACTGCATTTATCATAGATGCTCATGAGCATCAAAACTTACAAAAAGGGTGTCTGAGGCTTGGAAGACAGAAGAGGAACAGGAAATGTTGTGTTATCTGTCTTTCATGGCATGCACACAGGACTACGTGGTGTAGAAACATCTAAAACTGAGTCAAAAACATGATTTATTAAGAACTTCTGTGGCCTGGCGCAGTGGCACACGCCTGTA